CAAACTTTGTGAGGCGAGCCCAGGCAGCCTCCAGAGTTGAGGCGGCTGAAGCAGGACGAAGAGGAGGAGGAGGAGGAAGCACCACTGGGTGCTGAGGCAGCCACTGGCCGGGCTGGTGCTGGGGATGCCGAGAGAGAAAGAGAGTGGGAGAGCCACTTCCCTGGAAGAGGCGGCGGTGGCAGCTGCTGTTGGTGGCACTGTTGGAGGTGCTCTTCTTCAAGGACGGGCTGGGAGCAAGCTCCGTTCTCAGGCATCGCTTGATGGCAGCTTGGGCGCTCGGGGAAAAGGGCTGGCAGCATGCCTCGCTCGCCGGCTCTACCCCAAGACAGCGCCTCTTGCACCCTCCATCCGGAACTGCAGCCTGCCGCCCGGCAGACAGGTGGGCTGGCTGGAAGGCTGCAGTTCCGGAGGCGCTGTCTTGGGAGAGAGCCGGCGAGCGAGGCGAGGCTTTTTTTGATTCTTGACAGCAGAGGACGTGTGGGCGCTTCAGGGGGCCAGGCAAGGCGGGGGCCACAAACTATAGTCCGGCAGGCTGCAAATGGTCCCTGGGCTGCATGTTTGAGACCCCCTGGTCTAAATTATGTACTTTTTCAGCAAAGTGACCAAGAGTCTAAGACTAGAATTAGAGCTAATTCTCTTTGTCTGTTAGCCAGCAAGCCAGACTTGCCAGTTTTTTAAAGTTTATTGAAGAAAACATATACAGTGGTGCCTCGCATAGCGAGGTTAATCCGTTCCGGATTAACCTTCGCTATGCTGAAGCATCGTTAAACGGTACAGAAAAGCCCATTAGAACGCATTAAACATGGTTTAATGCATTCCAAATGGGCCAAATACTCACCGTCCAGCGAAGCTTCGTAATGGCCGGCAGCCATTTTCGCGCCCTCGCCTCGCTTAACGAGGGCGCGAAAACGCTGCGCGCGGCCATTTTAGGCCATTTCCCGGCTGCCGGCGGCCATTTTGGCCGCCGCACAGCTGATCGGCGGGGGGCGTTTTGCGAAGATCGGTAAGCGAAACGCTTACCGGGCTTCGCAAAGCAAATTTTTCCCTATGGGAACAACGTTGTGCGATCGCATTAGCGATCCGAAAAAACGGATTGCTATGCGATTTAATTGTTATACGGTGCGCTCGTTAAGCGAGGCACCACTGTAAAGAAAATAATAGGAAGAAGGAGATTGTTGCCAATTGAAAAGAATCACATCAAGGTTACAAAACTGAGAATGCAGATAACCCAAAGGAAAATAATACCATTTCATTACAAGTTATTCTTAAAGAAATAATCTACCAGTTTGCCTAAACCAGCTACCTGGACTTTTCCCTTTCAGTTCATGCTTTCCAGCTTCTAGGGCAAAGACAAAGGAAAAACCCATCTCTAAGCCTTAAATAGAATGCCTATCACTAATGTAAATTGCCTCTGAATGCAGCAGGGAGTCGGTATGGCTGTAACCAAAAGGTAGATCTCTCAGATATGCCCCAAGGATGTAGAGGCTATCTGGGCAGGAATCTCAATGACTTCCAAAGTCCTTTGAAAAACAGGATGGCCTTTCATGCTAGATGGTGGGGGCGGGTGTGTGTGGGAAGTCTCACATCTGCAGTAGCAGCTTCCCGGATTTGTCCTGGCCAGTTACCGTACTTCAGAGTAATGATCATACATTTAATTAATCCAGCAAATATTTAAAGTTCAATATCTTCACAACTCTTCTGGCTGTGGGATGGAAAAAGCAAAAGGCTAGAAGAGTAGAAAACCCCAAAACCTAAATCAGATATTATGGCTATGGTATCTGAAACTAAAATGATAGTTACCAAGAGGTAAGATACCATGCGGAGCACATTTCCTTGGCAGAGTAATTGTCAAATCATGCATTTATGGGGATACTTTTTTAATTGCTGAGCCTGACATGCAGAGCAAATACATGCAGGCAATATTTTTACATGTGCAGGCATCCTCTGCTTAATGCACTGTTAATGTTCTCTGTGTTGCTTATATGTTCCATATTGTGTTAAAATACCACTACCAATGTTTGGTATAGGGCTAGTAGAGGCAGTAACTTATGTTTCCTATACCTTGTGTTTCTCTAGCTCTGTAGCTGCCAAATCTCAGTTTTAATGGGCTATTGGAGATTAGTTTGATAGTAAAGGCAAGCTGGAAGATGTTGGCCTAGGAGTGCAACTGCAATGCAGTTCTCATGTAATAGAAAACAGCTATTGGACAAGTTGGTGAGCTGGTAAGGTTCCATCATTGGCATAGGAATGTGGGAATAAATATTCTGGATTTAACCACATCTTGGAAATGTTACTTTTTAATGTAACTCACAGGATTGTCTGCCAACCTGGCCATTGCAGGCGGGGGGGGGGAATTAATTATGTGTGGGATACATAAATAATATTTGGCTATCAGGTTTCTGCTAATTGTAAAAAGAAAAGACTATAAAGGAGCCATTCTGAATGTAAGCATGACTTCACAACAAAGGAGCAGTAAGTAGATGTGAACTTGAAGCCTTTTAACCCTACATGTTTCCACTTTAAGGAAGACTGGTTCACATGCTAAACGGAGCTGAGCAAAATTGAATTTAACCGTTTTCTCACTCTGGCCCATAATCTATGTAATCCAGAAGTCTTGGTCTTAATGATAAAGCTGACAAGCAGGATAAGAATGATACTGTTACTTATATGCCATGGTGCCTGATCTTTTGTGAATACTGTATACTGCTTTTGGATGTGGATGCTTGCTTTAGCTTTCATGTCATATAAACAATGAACTTTAAACAAAACCTTTAGTGATAACATTCAGACACTATGTGTAGGCCACATGTGGTGGAATTCTTCCCACTCTGCTAGCTGCTGAAGAAGCAGGTAGTTGTTTTTGTAGAGGAACACTAGGAATTCTGCAGTAATTTTGCTACTCTTTGCAAGGAATTACCTGTCCATGGGACAGAGGCCATGAACAAACTATACACAGATGGAAGACAGAGTGAACAAGTTGGGTGCCTGGATTTATGTTGGGAGATGGAAACATTGGAGAGCATTATAGGGGAAACATTGAAAAGGAAGATATTTGGGCACTCTGTGTATAAGTTTATATAGGAAATGAAGAATGCAGTGATCAGTAGCAGGATGGAGTATTTCATGGCCTTTCAGCAAGACCTGGCAAAAGCTGAGCGAATTAAAATTAGTCTTGTACTCATGACTGCTTTTAGAAGAATGTTCAGGCTTAGACGTTAATAGTAGTGTTGGAAACGATTGGCAAAGATTGAAAGTAATAAAACTTTTGTGCATGAGCATGTCTTATCTTTAACTCTCTAGCAAGAGCTGCTGCTCTAATAATTTAATTTACCTTTTAATAATAGCAAAACCACTCTCATTGATTTGAAGGTTAGACGATATTTCTGTTTAAAACGCTTGACTGAATTTCTTCTCTGT